TTATGCAGCTAAAGTGAGTATCATTAAATGCAATAAATAGCAACATACTTTCATTCATTTGTGTGTTATAGCATCCTACTTTTCCTTTATTTTTATTACAACATGTACTTTCAACTTTTTTATTTTAGAGTAAATTACACGAATGGTCCCTATGGTTTGGGGTAATTTGCATGTTTGGTCCCTAACTTATTTTTTTAACTCGGAAAGTCCCTATTGTTTGTTTTTGTTACGCGCTTGGTCCCTGTCTTACCTAAAAAGACTATTATTTAAATAGGGAAAAATGGTGGGGTAGGTAAGGTAATGTGAGAGGGTGAGATTGGAGGTGTGTTTATTTAAATAAATTAAAAAATCAAGGGCAAAATAGTTTTTTTAGGTAAGACAGGGACCAAACGCGTAACAAAAACAAACAGTAGGAACCTTCCGAGTTAAAAAAATAAGTTAAGGACCAAACACACAAATTACCCTAAACCATAGGGACCATTCGTGTAATTTACTCTTTATTTTATTTGAGATTATAGTCTAAAAGATCTTAAACTGAATATTGCTTTGTTTTTGAATGACATTGCTATAATTGGGTATAATTTTCAATGAAAGTATGTTGCTATTTCTAGCATTTAAGCCTAAAACTAAAATACAATACTTTTGTGTCATTATATTGAAGTGTAAGTCATCATTGATTAGGTGACACTAGAAGCCCTTGGTGAGATATTTGAAGCTGCACGTGGGACCATGTGTTGGCTTGGTGATTGTGCAAAGGTGGGACCATGTTAATTCTTATGTTCTCTATTTATTTACTTATTATAAAAGACTTTCTTTTGGCATTAAGTCAAAAAGAAACACACATTTTTAACTTATTTCATTAAGTCATGTCCCCATTAAGTGAAAAAGAAGCATATGTTGACAAGTAAATTTTTTGCAGGTGATTGCTTCAGAAAATCAGCCTGTTAGGTGGACAACGCCTCTAGGGCTTCCTGTTGTGCAACCTTATTTCAAAACCAAACGTCATATTGTAAGATGTTCTTAAATTTCTTTTTTGATTTTTTATGTAGATTTGAAATTTGTTGACCTCGAAAAGTCAAAGGGTATGTTTTTTTTTTTTTTTTTACATTGTATTGGATTATACTATTTTGTTACAAGACATGACTATTATTGTTGTCAATTGGTTGCAGATAAAAACATCTCTTCAGGTCTTAGCTTTGCAACGAGAGGGTAGTATGGTAATTTGCCATTACCTTTCAAAATTTGATCTTCTTTTTCAAGTTTCAAACATCTTGTGAAGTTTCTAAGATTTTTATCACTGTATTTGTATTTATAGGTGGAGGTTAAAAAGCAGAGGACTGCATTTCCTCCAAATTTTGTGCACTCACTTGATGGGACCCACATGATGATGACTGCTGTTGCTTGCAGGGATGCTGGATTGCGTTTTGCAGGTTTAAAATTGTTTAATAAATGTTTTTGTATTAAAAGTATAAAAGGAAAAAAAATGTCAACTAAAGATTATTTGATATAACATAATGATATAAATTCAATCATAAAATAAGATATGTTGATAGTAGAACATCATGATAAAGGTAAAAAAAATTCTAGGAAATGAATGAGGTTGAAAGATATCAGGTATACTTATTTTATTTAATGACAAAAATACCCGTGAAAAATACTATACATTTTTATAGGAAACAGACAGGAAGGGTATAATTGTAAAACTGTCGGCTTTGGCTTTCCTTACAATGTTTATTTTTGTTTTTTGGATTTAATTTTCCTATTTCAAGATTGGATAGAAATTTAATGTCATATCATAACAACAGGGGTTCATGATTCTTTCTGGACACATGCATGTGATATTGACAAGATGAACCAAATTCTAAGAGAAAAGTTTGTAGAGCTTTATAGCATGCCTATTCTTGAAAATGTAAGCATCTTTTCATTCCATAAAGGCTTATTATGCATCAATGATTCACCTTTTATACCAATTTATGCAACGATGCTTCACTTTTATATAATTTATGCAACTTTTGGTCCTAGATTGAGAAAAAGGTGAAACTTTGGTGCATCCCTTCATTTTCTGAAATATTTCTTTACATCATTTATCCAAAACAGCACTAATCTAACTTTTGTTCTTATGATTTGTTTTTTTACTTTAATCTCAAAACAGCTGCTTGAAAGCTTTCAAACAACATATCCAGGGCTCGAGTTTCCTCCCCTACCAAAGCGTGGCAACTTTGATCTGAATGAAGTTCTTAATTCGCCTTATTTTTTCAACTAAACACAACACAGTGTCTGTACAGAAGTGTATTTTACAAGCCAGCAAGAAGCATCATCACATCAATATACGTTTGTGTCTTAAAAGGATTGAGATCTTAACAAGTTCTCATGATGATATTCATGAAGGGATATAGAGTTTTTTTGAGAAATCGAGGCATAACAAAGTAGCAAAACATGTACATTTTTTGGCAAAAAGATGGAGATTCATGGTGGGACCCTCGTGGGATACTTGAAGCCAGGTGGATCGTTGATTGAAGATGATCTTGACCTTTGAGCTCATTGAAGGGGTTCTTGAGGTTTGGTTTTAGGGAAATGTGGTATTTGTAGTGTACGTTTTTTGGAGGAATTAAGATGAAAATGGAATGATCTTTTAATGTATATGCTAGTGAGGGATTCAAGTAACATTGTTAGTGTAGGGTAGTGTATATCTGTGTTGTCTCTTTTTGACTTAATGGATTTAATAAGGATAAGACTGTTAAGCTATATACAAGTCAATCGTTTACATATGCATTCTGGATCTTCTATTTTCTTTTAAATGTGTTTGTCTTTTTCTAAAAGAACCCGATAGTTTTTCGTGCTCTCTAGTTGGAGAAAAAGATTGAAAGCTGAAAATTTTATGATTGTCTTTATTATGTAATTATATGATAGAAGAGGCATATATAAAGTTAGAATAACATTAGAAATAATTTTCTTATTATAAAATTTTAGGCTAAAATGTTTCTTGGTATTACGAAACCTAAAACTATGAAATTGATGAGCAAACTAAAACCTCGGGAAATCCAAATATAATATTGGGGTCCAGTGGTTAGGAAAACTTGGTCCGTTCACAACCAAAAGGAAAACCTAATTAGTATACAAAATTCGAAATGAACAAATCTGCAAAGGGGAATTCCTTATCAAACTCATCCAAGCAGTAGAAAAGAGAGAAGGGGATGGGAGAATCAAGGGTACCCCTTATTTGGGGCTCTTTACATGAGTTTGAGGACATTTTTGAGATACCTAAAGGGCTTTTAGGTATCTCAAAAGTGGTTGTACAAGCTTTTAGAATTCGATTTTGGGGATCCAATACAAGACTAGATATCCCTACAAAGGCGTCCACCTCCATGGGTACTTATCATCAACAGTTTATGATCGGGTAGAAATCTTCATGGTCTTTTTCTGGAAAGACTCTTTCGAATACATGGCACCGTCCAGTCATCACCCGTTGTATTGCTTAGGGAACTTCTTATCAAGTGGAAAGGGATGCCGACATTGGAAGCCACCTTGTGAGGACTTGGAAATCATGCATCATCCTTTTCTTTCATTTCACATTTAGTACAATATGAATCTTTGGGGTGAGGTATTGCTATTCACTTATGCAAGGAGGGGCAAAGTGGGAAAACCAATATTGCAAAAAACAGTACCAAGTAGCAAGGGTGGTTTTGGTAACCAATATTGCAAAAAACAGTACCAAGTAGCAAGTTTGTTATTTACTCCCTCCGTCCCAAATTAATAGTCCATCCCAAAATAATTGTCCACTTCTAAAAATAAATATCATTTTTACCAAAATGTCATTCATTATTAGTAAAACTACAATGAAATTAAATGCAACAAAAGGGTATAATTGTCATTTCATTTAATAAAGTTAATGATAATTAATGTTTCCTTAATCTATGTGTTTTTTGTCTGTAGACAATAATTTTAAGACGGAGAGAGTACATGATTATCTAGGGTCTAGTTAGTGGGATGATCATGCGTGTTTTTGGATATCATTGTCTTTTCTTTTCATTAGATGGACTAGCTTCTCGAACTACAAGAAGGAATACATTGAAACTTTTGGTCGAAATCAAATATTTTAGTAGTTTTATTTTTTTGGTTAATTCTATTTTTCCAGCGAGTTCTTAGTACATAATCACCAAAATAACGAGCTTAATATTTATTATTTAGCAATGTTCTAGATAACGTTAGCCGTGACTTGACGGCAATGTCACACGTCAAACTTTATTACACATGACTTAAGACATTTTTTTTATAATTAATACTTCTATATATATTTTCTACTATTATTCATTTTTATATACATATATACCTTAAGACAATATTTTGTTAAAACGTGACGTAAAATACAAGTCTTGGAGTCAGGATGTATCATGATGAACATTTTGAAACCTTGGTATTTAGAGACATGTAGTTTTTTGGAATTTAAAATAACCGAATCGAGGCCATAACCATTACAAGCTATGGTCTTTTGTGTAAGTTCTAAAAACAGGAAATGTGGCACATCATTCAAAATAAAAAAATAAAATACAAGGATTATATTTAAGTTAGTATGTTACATTATTAAAAGAAGGTTTTTATGCCATACCAAACAAATTACAACATCATCATTTTTTTGTCCCACAACATAGCAAACATTATGTACTTGCAAAAGTTATCAAAGGTTCGAAACTATGGATTTGGTTCCTTATGGGATTATTAGGCTCTTATGTCAGCCACCTAACAAGTGTTGATCAACTTAGGGTTTGTATGCTTGGAACTTGGAAGAATAGCATTTTACAAAAAATATTCGATCATGACCCACGTAACAAAAAGTCAACCACCACACAAACATCAAGAACCATTCCAATAAGCAAGTCAGATGGTTCCCAATTTTCATCAATAGCTACCGATTAAGCGACAATATACAAAGTATTTTTTTTTTTTACATGATCAGGGTACGTACATATATACAACTGAACACATTACCATCATCATATCAACTGTACACCAAACTGAAATAAAATTCAATCATTAAACTTTCAAATTTCCCATTAAAACGTCATCTATGTACACTTGCCTCTATTTTTTTTTTTCTTTTCTTCCATCATATCTGCCCAAATTTTAACGATCAGGAAGCAGCAGTAGGCGAATGAATGGTTGTGTCAGGTAACATGGCTACAGTCACCACAAAGTACTCGCACCCAACCCCACCCGGTAACCCATACGGGTTCAAACCCGTGGGTCGACCCGGGGATGATTTTACAGTTTGTCTCTCGATGTGCACGATTTGGCCCACAATGTATGTGGGCCGGTTTGGAAGGTGATCAGCAAATAAGGCGACAGATTCTGAAGAAAGAAAGTAATGAGAATGTGCAGAGTTTCGGTTGATGGCTTCATAGTGGCCTGATACATTGTTAAGTACAAATGCTGCTATCTCATGAAGCTCTAAACGACTGAATGATATCTTCTCCTTGTTCACCTGTTCACAGATATTATCATCATTTTTATTTATATTATTAAAAAATACAGTAGAAAAAAATACATTCGGTTACCCGTATGTATTTTGGTAAAAAATGAAACCTGTTTTTCAGATTGAAGCTTGACATACAAAGTGTTGAGCAATTCTTTCTTTTCATTCAACTCCTTTGTGAGCTCTTCATGTGATGCCTCCGCCTTTGTGTACCTATCGATTAGCTCGGCTCGTTGCCTAGTCAGCACTCCCACTTTCTCAGCCAACACCCGCACACATTCACGAAACTCCGCCACACCATCATCACTATTCTCATTTGCACAACTAAATAAAACCATCAATTCTTGTAAAAACATATTAAGTGGTGAAAAATTAATTAATTAATAATATCAGAGTTTTTGAATGCTTACGTGGCAAGAGATTGAGCTAACGCGCGTAGTGAGTCAGCAAAACCCACCACACCAGCAGAGGAAACACACGTTTTAAGCCTCTCGAAAAGCGTGCGCACTTTAACCGCCGAGGCACGTAACGCGGTGTATTCCGATGCTTTACGGTCAGCTGCACATAGATGAGTCTGCGCCTCTTCTCTTGCTTCGTGTAGACAATTCTCTAAGTGTGCACAATTCATCTGGACCCCACACACACAAAAAAAAAAAATTAATAATATATATAGTAAACCAAATTTTTTTAATCATATAAAAATACAATTTATAAATAATAATATATAATTACCTGAGATTCATCTAGAAGATTCCGACTCATTTCCAACTCGTTACCCAGCCTTGCAACCTCATCCACAGCTTCCCGGAGCTTTATTTCCATTTCATTTACTTCATTTGTCTTCTCAGCCACCAAACTCTGCAACTCCACAACATCACCACCACCACCACCACCACCGGCCTTCGCCGGAAAACTTTTCTCCGGCATGTAATCGCCGCTAGAGCTCGCCACCATCGCCTCCTTTTCATCTTTCTCATCCGGCATTGATGAATCCAGATGCGTGTTTGACCCATAAGAAGCCTCATCCATAGGAGAGAAGATTTCCGATTTTGAATCTCCGGTTTTCCCGGTTGACTCGTCTTTATTGAGTTTGACTTCTAGAGTATACTGATCCGAAAGTCTTTGTTCGAGTTCCTTTATCCGTTTCTCATATGATTCACATTGCAAATGTTTCACTTTTAGCATTGATAACAAATGCTTTTCATGTTCATCTTTCAAACGTAACGCCTCAGCAGTTTTTTCAGTTGCATTCTTTAGCAAATCTCCTACTTTACTATCATCAAGTGATTCGAATTCAATTTCGGGTGAAAAAGAACAAAGGAGGGCAATTGTGGAAGCTAATTCGGCTTTCAATTTTGCATTTTCAACTTCAATTTTACTAGTTCCAGCAATCTCAACCAATTCAGAAGCTTCGATAAAATCATTCCCACTTTCGGAAGTTTCCTCAACGCCCTTTTTGAAAGAAAGCCCGACTAGATGCTCAGGGGCAAAACGGTCAATATCCGATACGTCAATATCGAGTAAATTCCCATCAAATGGAGCTATATTCACATCACATGTATTGGGCGTATCGTATAGCCCCATGGAAGCTAAAATGTCTCTTGGAATATACGAACTGTGAACTTTTAAAAACTCTTCTCTTCTCCTTATTTCAATTTCCCTTTTGGATGCAAGTTTTTCAGCTAAATGTCCAGCCATTCCCATGTAAAGCTTCATGGAGGCTTTTCTTCTCACTATTTCTGCTAAACAAGCACGGTATGCGGGCCCGATGCCACGGATGACTTTTAAATGGTCAAATTGGTCATTTTGGCGTTTTAGGGCTTCGGTGAAAAGTGAGAATTTGTTGCGGATTTCTTTGATGGTGTATTGAATGTATGCAATTTTTTGCATGTATTTGTGTACAAAAGTGTTCATTTCTGATTTTTTGTTTTTGCAGAAAGTGAGAAGGTTGGAAATGGCACGTTCACATGCTTGCATTTTGGGGATGTAGCTTTTGTCATGACCTTCATACATGGGGCCCAATGCAGAAACAGCATCGTGTGGACGAAGGGAATTGGAGAGTTGACTAGTCAAACAATCATCCACAAGTTTTTTCACTAAGCCCACATCTTTGCTGCATTGATTTAGATTGAAGGTCAATGAAAAGAAAAACTTCTCTCAAAATGCACATCTTTACAAGTTTAAGCTAATCTTTAAGTAACATATTGGAATATGTTGCAAAAAACTGGAAAGAAATCTAGTTTGTTGTATATTTAGGTGAAAGTGTGTAGTTTTGTTGCATAAACAAGTTATTAACCCTTTTGTGAAATGAAACTAACACCTTTATTATGAAAGATTCATTGTTTTGACTAGGCATGGCCTTTGTGAGATGTTATTATTAGTTAAATGCCTTAAATGCCCTCCAAATAATGACAAAATAAAAGTCTTGTGGAGGAAAATCAGAAGCATCAGCAGAACAATGGGCAGATAGGTCATTCCAACTTTAAAATTTCCCAGAGAATTTCAAAGAGATGAATGAGAACCACAAAAGGAACAATTGATTCCAAAAAAAGTACACATTTACCCTTTTCTATACAAACACACATAGATGGAGATAGTAGTATGATTTACATGCAACAAACAATAATGCTCACACAATACCTCTTCCCACATATATATACAATTACAAATTAAAATCAGATTATGAAAAAACATATTTACTTCACAAATGCTTTTCTTCTCTTAAATGAAGAATATAATCAGACTAAGGTGTTGTCTCTTTTTGACTTAGTAGACTTAACTGGGACAGAATCTAGTAAGCTATATATGAGTGCTTCTTTTTTGACTGAATAGACTTAATAGGAACAAAACCTAGTAAGCTATATATTGCTGTTTCTTTTTGACTTGATACAGAAAGTACGACTTATCAAAAAGTCAGATAAAAGAGGTACTTCTCCCTTAAGTCCTAACCTTTTACAAATTTCCCTTCGTTTATTTTTTCCTTCTAAACATCATCTGTACAGAAAATAATTTATCCAGACAACACTTATAGAAAGAAAAAAGATCCTAAAACCTCTTTTAAGACATGAAATTTGTGATCAAAATGTTCATGGAAGACTAGAACCTTACCTAGCCTCTCACAAACATTAACAGACAGCAAGAACACAACCCCAGATGACATTATACATGTATAATTGCAACAAACAAAAATTTAATTCAAAGGGGCAAAAAGGGTATAAGGTTTTGAGAAAGATAACAAACCTCAAAGCCTGCATTATGCTTTTCTGCTCATTAATATGATGCTGGTGCTCCTTAACAGTTCTCTCCAAATCTCTACCAAGAATTGAAGCTTTACTAGAAAACAAACACTCAGTGCTTCTCTTTAATTCTCCAAATTCCTGCTTAAACTCTCCAACTTTACTTTCAAACTGTCTATGAGAATTACTACAATCATCCACCATTTTTTCTCAAATTATCTTCTTTCACAAAATCCAACAAACACTTTCTATCACCACTCTGTAACACAGGCAGAAGTTTAATGGACCTTAGCCTCTCCAAATCCCTCCCAAAATTCACCAACAAATTCGAATGTGTCCTTTGCTGCTGAGAATAACACCTCACGAAATCAGTGTAGTTTTGTAGGATCATCTTATAGAAATGGTCCAAATTACCCCTGGCAATCTCCAGTGCCTTCTCTTGCACCCTGTGCTTTCTTGAAACCCGCTCACTGGCCTCATATTTCATAAGGGTACGTCGGTAAATTGCGTCTCCAAGCTGGTAATGGTATCTAAATTGTCTTTCGTATGAGGGTAAAGCCTTTAAAGCAGGATCAGAGGCTTCATCTAATGGATGTGGATCATGGGAGGAAGATGGGGGTGGAGGGTCAAGATGGTAATTTTCAGCTACTTCAAGTTCTTCAGGGGCTTGGTGGGGTGGAATTGGTTCTCATTTTAGCTCGATTGAATAAGAAAACCTCTCGATCATCTGATGGGAGTTTGTATGCAGAAAGTGGCTGTTGAGGTTCTAATTTTAAATCCAAATAGAGAATAAGTTGATCATTTAAGCGAATTCCTGAAAGGGATTCAAGATATTGTTGGATAGATTCAACAAGGGTGTCTTCATCACAATCAAGCTCAAATGAATGCCCGTTTTCTGCTATATGAACTAAAAGTTTTCCCCTTTGTATTACATTTTCAGTTGAACTCATCTTTTATAACCCCAAACAGGCCAATTAATCCAATAAAGATTGACGATTTCTCAATCCAATAGCATAAATAAGCTAAAACGATTGTGTGGTGTGGTGGTAGACCACCATACACTCGGCTGATTTGATCAAATCCAGCTGCGTTTACACCACCGCCGAAATCTGCAAAGAAATTTAGTTCAAACCTCAATAAAACCCTAAATTAATGAATACCCACCACCGAGATCTACAAAAGTCATTTAATGTCCAAAAATAAACGAAATCCAACGATGTTTATTATCAATAAAACCCTAATACTCATCAACCGACCATTGAAATCTACACAAGATTGGAAAACCCACCAAGATTTCGTCGGTAGAACACCAAGGTTATCGAAATTAAAACTCAAATCGTTAAAATTGGGAATAATCACTGGCGTTTTCAGCCGAACAAACGATTACCCACAAAGGAAATCGGGTATACTTCTTATATGTACACTAAACTCGAACGGTTGGTTCAATGGTAAATTAGAGAGGAGAAAACCCCAATAAAGAGAGATAATCAATGACGTAAAAGCAAAGGGGGAGAACAGGAATATATGGAATTACTTAAGATTTTAGCTAAAGAAAGAACAAGCTTATAACGAAAGACGGGTCTTCTATGGAATATTTTATAAGATTCAATGAATATATAACAAATGTGATTTTTTTCTGCATAGATTATTAAAATATATTTAGTATGGGTGACCGATGAAACCTTCAGAGATGAGTAAACCACAAGGTACAAATAAGCTCCTCCTTGTACTTGCCCTGTTCTTCCTCCGCAAATTTGAGCTTCGGAGGAACAGAAAATCCTAGTTTAGAAGCCTGGATGCGTGTATGAATATATATAACTCGATCATGATATCTTTTTATGGCTATTTTTTCTCGTTTTGCTGTGTTTAACTCCGCCGTTTCCTATTCTATTTGGGGGTTTGGATGATGATGGAGACTATAGAATTAGAGTTGTATCATGATTGTGTTTTAGTTGTTACATTTTTTTTTTAATTTAACCCTTCTTTTTTTATAATATGTCATTAAAGTTTGATTTGAAGTTTAGTGAAGATATTTTCTTTTTGTTCTTTATATATATACTAAAATCATTATTTTTAGGATTTGTAAATAACTTATAATCGGGTTTTTATATTTAAAATCATTATAATTATAAAAAAAAATTTAATTGATCATTTTGTTTTTACTTTTAAATTGTTGGAATTGATCTTGAGTCATGATATCACAATAACATCACTTTAGAACTTAACCTCTCTATAAATACGAACCCTCTCTGTCATCTTCGACGACCTCGTTGTCATCTTATGCCCCGGTTGCAGTCCACTCAACCCATGGTCAGCGTATGATTATGTTTCTTCATTTCAATATGATATTCTTAGTGATCTCGTTGATGTATTGGTTTATGATTCTCGAATTATAATGGAACAATGGTTGTTGTTTCATAAGGGTTAAGATAGTGAAATGTGGGTTAAAAAGAATGTTGAGAATTTAATCACATGGATGGTAGTTATGGCTATGGTCGGTTCTCAGTACAAGAAAAATGTGATTTTACAACGGAGGAATCCGTTGCGAAAAGCTGAAATTCCGTTGCAAAATATGAATAGCAACAAAATTCGCGACGACCGATTTCCGTCCCAAAAAACCCCATAGCGAGTGTTTGCTAGGGAAACAATCATTCCGTCGCAATTGTGACAACGGATGAAATTCGTTGTAAATGATTTTCCGTCGTGTATTCCGTAGTAGGATTCCATCACAAATTTCGTGGTAGTTCTTCCATCACAAATTCCGTTGTAGTTAATCCCTAACAAAATCCATGGTGATGATTCCCTAGCAAATTCCATGGTGGTGAATCCATAGTAAATTCCGTGGTGGTGATTCCCTAGTAAATTCCGTGGTGGTGATTCCCTAGAAAATTATGTGGTGATGAATCCCTAGCAAATTCTGTGGTGGTGATTCCCTAGCAAATTTTTGTGGTGATGAATCCCTAGCAAATTCCATGGTTGTGGATCCCTAGCAAATTTGGTGGTGATGAATCCCTAACAACTTCCGTTTGATGACTTCCTAGCAAATTCTGTGGTGGTGAATCCCTAGCAATTTTCGTGGTGTATATTATATAGCAGATTTCATATCAAAGATTCCATATGGACGGATGGATAATTGATTTATAAATTAAATCTAAATTATTTTGTAGTAATATATGAAAAACAAAAATAACAAAAAAAATCAAATAACATTATATCATAAAATAATACAATAATTATTTATTACATGGAAAATGGAAAGTGGTTAATCTAAAATAAATACTTTGCAATAAATATATCAACACTTTATGACCTACTAGTGTTGTTGTTTTGTAATGACATTAATAAGATCCATTTCCGTTTTAAGTTGTTTTCAAGTTGACCGACTCTTGCGTTGTTTTGTTCTTCTTGGGCCTTCATTATTTCTTTAAGCTCTTCGTTTTGCTCTTTTTGTTTAGCAACAAGCTCCCTCATTTCTTCCATTTCATCATTTTTTTCCCGAAATGTAAGATACATCCGTTTTACCGTTAATATTGGGAACCGCCTTTGTAAAAGAGCCTAATCCATAAAGTCTTCTTTTTTTGTCATGACCACCAACAACATCATAACATAGTTTGTCCTCCTCAAATTCAGCACCTTCAGCTTCCAACTCTTCCCGTTTTTCTGTATAGGCCGCCTACAAAATAAAAATAATATAAATTAAAAGATATCAAAGTTATGAATGACATTATGGACTAGCTACAATATAAAAGTTTAATTGCACTGAAATGAATATTACATGAATTTGCCTATCTTTTTCATTTGTGAAAGTGACTCCATTGTGATTCTTTGTGTGTATACATGAACAATTCACTATGGGGTGGATCACATCCTAATTTCCTCTTCCGCATAAATACCATAAAATGTCAAATATACACATAAACATAAACATTGATGTACCATTAAAAAAATTACCAAATCAGAAGCTATCTTCAAATGATTTGCGGATCCAGAGTTATGGGTAGGTTGTGCTACTCCATCAGCCACACCCTTACGCCTATTTTTCTTGTTCTGCTCGGATTTTAGCTTGTATTCATCTGTATTCCATTTTACTTGTCAGGAGTTCCAGACTTCATGTGCAATATGAGCTGGTTTAAAGGCATGTGGGTTTCTTTGTGGGCTCCGCATGTTGTAGAGATATTGGTCATAACTTTGTGCCGCTTTACTTGCCCAAGCTTGCCTCACCATCGAGTCTATTGTTTCATCCCAACAACATTTTTTATTCACATTAACAATATAAACATAAGTTTAAATGTAAATGTTTACCAAACAACAATTTATCACATATAGTTAACTACCTGGAACTCCTCCCAATATAATTCGCGTATTTCTTTGCTTACTTTTCCCCAAGTGTACCCTTATGGATCTACTCTTTGTAAAAATGACCGACTAATAATGTGTGTACAAGGGCCTAGTGGCATGAGCCTGCAAATAATCATGTGATCGGTTTAGTTTTAAATTAATATGTACGTGTACACTAAAAGGTTATACATAGAAAAAAGTTGTAAGATATGATTGGTAACTCACGTTTTTTTTCCAAACATGAACAGTTAAACATTCATCTGGTCCACAATCTTCAGAGGAACTGTTTTCACCTTCTACATTTTCCACAACAAATCCATTCACGGTTGGTTGTGTTGGTGATGGGGTAGATTCTGGGATAGGTGTTGGTGATGGGGTATATTCTGGGGTAGGTGTTGTGATAGATGTATATGTTGAGGATGTGGTAGTTCCTTTAGGTAAGGAGGATGTGTTAGTTATTGTAGTTGTTGAGGATGGTAGTGTCGATGAAGGTTTTAAGGTTGTGGTAATAGATATAAGTGTTGATGATGTGGTAGTGGATGTCGGTGTTGAGGATGGTTTCGATGATGTAGGTGCTGAAGTTTTGGTTGTAGATGTAGGTATTGAGGATTGTATTGTTCCAGTTGCTGAAGTTTTAGATGTATTTGTTGAGGATGGTGTGGATGTTGTAAGTGATGTTGAGGAAGTGGTAGTCATGGTTGGTGTTAATTATTTAGGTTTAGGGGTTTTGGTGCTAGATGTTATAGGTGCATTGGATGTGGTTACTGATTTTGGGAAGTCGATTTCTTCATCTTGTAATTGTCTGCTTATGAATTTTCAGTTGAAGTCCTGTTACGGTTCCAAACATGTGGTGTAATGAATTTAGTTGCCTTCATACCTGATGCTCCTTTTGGTTTCAAGTTCGACATCTTTCTTGCTTAAAAATAAACAAAAACTATAGTCAATACCAATGTATTAAAGATGATAAAATATTTATGAGTAGAGAACAATCATACAATAAAAATAAATTATAGATGAAGGAATTACTACACATGCATACTATTGAATACAATCAAAACCAATGTAGTTGTAATTTAAGATGATAATATATATGAAGATGATCAGAGAACAAGAAACGATGATCACGACAATAGTAAATTAAATAAAAATAAATTTTAGATGAGTGACAACCTATATCGCCAAAGTCAGTGCACAAACGTAGCGAACAAATATCTCGATCAATTAGCCGACGGAGATGATTATAGAAAATGTAGATCCTATTCCTAATCAGTTAACTTACCCTAATATGCAGCCTTAACGTGTGTAGGTTAGAGGGAAAAGAATTGCGAAATACTTTGAAGCTCCACTAATGAAAATTTTGAACTGTACAAATTAACACTAAATATATAGTAATTCAAAATTTTTAAAGTAGTTCCAGCTTGATAGAAAGGGTATATAACGTCAAGAAAGAACAAAGAGTAACGAGGTGTTCATACCATAAATTTAATTTAAAATTATAAACGAGAATTAAACAATAATAAACTATACATCTTTATGTTGCTATGTTTGAACCAAAATTTATATATAAAAGACGTATGGGTCATGGGTCAATGTGGTAGTTGCTTATAGTGTCATGGTATAACACCCATAGATGACATATGGGTCATGGGTGTGATGGTAACACCCATGGATGACATATGGGTCATGGGATGCTTATAGTGTCATGGTAATACTCATGGATAACATTTGGGTCATATATCCATGTGGTAGTTGGTTATAATGTCATGGTAACACCCATGGATGGCATATGGGTCATGGGTCATGTGGTAGTTGCTTATAGCTAGTGTCATGGTAACACCCATGGATGACATATGAGTCATGGGTGTGATGGTAAAACCTATGGATGACATTTGGGTCATAGGTCCATATGGTAGTTGGTTATAGTGTGATGGTAACACCCATAGATGACATATGGGTCATGGGTTAATGTGGTAGTTGCTTATAGTGTCATGATAATACTCATGGATGACATATGGGTCATTGGTCAATATGATAGTTGCTTATAATGTCATGGTAATACTCATGGATGACATATGGATCATTGGTCAATATGGTAGTTGCTTATAGTGTCATGGTAATAACCATGGATGACATATGGGTCATGGGTCATGTGGTAGTTGCTTATAGTGTCATGGTAACACCCATGGATGACATATGGGTCATTGGTGCGATGGTAACACCCATGGATGACATATGGGTCATGCGCTGCTTATAATGTCATGGTAATACCCATGGATGACATTTAGGTCATATATCCATGTGGTAGTTGGTTATAGTGTCATGGTAACACCCATGGATGACATATGGGTCATGGGTCATGTGGTAGTTGCTTATAGTGTCATGGTAACACCCATGGACGCAATATGGGTCATGGGTGTGATGGTAATACCCATGGATTACATTTGGGTCATAGGTCCATGTGGTAGTTGGTTATTGTGTGATGGTAACACCCATGGATGACATATGGGTCACGGGTTGCTTATATGGGTCATGGGTTAATGTGGTAGTTGCATATAATGTCATGGTGATACTTATGGATGACATATGGGTCATTGGTCAATATGGTAGTTGCTTATAGTGTCATGGTAATACCCATGGATGACATATGGGTCATGGATCATGTGGTAGTTGCTTATAGTGTCATGGTAACACCCATGGATGACATATGGGTCATGGGTGTGATGGTAACACCCATGGATGACATATGGGTCATGGGCTGCTTATAGTGTCATGGTAATACCCATGGATGACATTTGGGTCATATATCCATGTATTAGTTGGTTATAGTGTGATGGTAATACCCATGGATGACATATGGGTCATGGGTCAATGTGGTAGTTGCTTATAGTGTCATGGTGTGACATCCCCAAATTTCTCGGCCAGAAAAGACCGATTTAATT